AAATGACATCCGGGTCGGACTTAAAGGAAGCGGGAGGGTACCACCCCTGGCAGAGGGGCCAGAGGGTAGAGCTGGAGCTCCAGACGGCCCCAGGTCCCCCAGAGCCACAGGCCAGTCTGCCGTGTAGGGGGGCCCCCCTTCGGGGAGCAGGACCCCGGCTCTGGCCTCTTTTCTCAGGGGGCGGCCGATGTCGGAGGGGTTTGGGTGCGGCTGCGGGTGACGTATTGGCAGGACCAGGGGCTCTGAGGTTGAGTGAGTAACGGAAGGTGAAGGGTGGACACAGGAGGCCCGTGTGAGGCCATCGCAGTACGTAAGGAGGACGGTGACGCACGGACAAGGCCGTGGCCCGCCGTGGGGCTAGTGGGCAGCTGTCGGGTCTGCAGAGAATTTCAGAGCCGTCCCAGTGGGGTTTCCTGCGAGGCTGGATGGGCGCGAGCAGAAGGGAAGGGCCAGGCAGGACTCGGGGCTTGGGTCTGGTCAGCGGAGATGGGGAGCAAACGGAGGGAGGCCCCCAGCACCAGCCCCGGCACCCAGCGGCCACCTGCCTCTGGGAGGCTCCGCCCAGCCTCCTCCCCTGGCCCTGGGGGCTCGGTGCCCCCAGGCGTCCCTTTCCTGCAAGGCTCTGTCCTTCGTCATCTCCTCGAGTCTGGGTTTGTGGAGGAGGCGGTGGGTGTCCCCTTTTAAGTTGCACAGCCTGACACACGTCTCCGATCCGGCCCAAGAACCTCTCCGAGCTGGTGACCCTGCAGACGCGCCTCAAGCACCTGCAGGCGGTGAAGGACGGGAGGTACGTGTTCCTGTTCCGCACCAAGGCGGCGCAGGTGGAGGAGCGCAGGCGCCTGGACCACCGGCTGGCCGCCATCGGCGCCATCCTGGACCACGTGAAGGACGAGCACCCCCAGTTCCAGGAGGCCCTGCTCAAGCTCAGACAGACGATCGCCAGCCAGCTGGACGCCCCCGGGCCCTCCTAGCACGCAGCCCTGCCCGAGCCTCCAAGGCCGGCCGGCCGGGAAGAGACCAGGGTGCTGCATATTCCCTGGGAGCCGTATCTTTTTGTGTCCCCGGAAGCCACGTCCACCCGCAGAGAATGACGCTGAGAGAAGAACAGGCCAGCGCTGCAGGACACTCTGGCCCACGCTTGTTTAAACCAATCACCTCCCGACCTTCCTGGTTGCGTTTAGGCAGGTCATCCCTTCGCAGAGGCAGCGCCCGGGAGGCAGACCCTGTTCCCAGGTGGACGGAGCACGTGCTCCCCTGAGCAACACCTGGGCTGTGGAGGCTCCCGTCTCTGCACGTGCGCATCTGCAAACTCACACCCACCTCCTCCTGGGCAGCTTCTCGCTCCCACCCCCCAGAGAACCCGGGTCCCTTCCCCTCCCCCACTCCCGGTCCGGGTTAAATCCAGACTCTCAGCCGGAGGGAGGACGAGCTTACAGAGAGCCAACCGCTGAAATAAGACCCGCCCCAGGTCTGCCCACTGGTCCCGCCTCCAGGGTCGGAGCGCCCTCCTCCCCCACCCGGTTCCCCAGCACCTGTTAGCCGGCCTCTCTGCAGTGGAACCGGAAGGGTTCTACAGAATTTCACTTGCACACTTTTCAACAGAAAAATAAATATTTTTTCCTGAAGATGGAGGAAGGCATATTTATTCTCAAACATTTGAGAAACACAAACCCCATAAGGAATCAGGGGCGCCACCGCCCGTGCCCCGCAGGTGCCCCGGGTTTCCCTGGGGAGAGCTCCCGGGCAGGATCACGCGTGCGCTGTGTGTCCGCTCGAGGAGCTTGCTCCTCCAAACACAGCATCTTCTCGTTGTAGGAAACGTCCTTGTCGAGCTAACGTGCTCACAGGAGTCGACTTTGCGGGTCATGACAATGTTTCCCTTTACGGAATAAGCTGTTATTAACGGTGCTGCCCAGGACTCCCTCTCTGCCAGTTCGGGGCTAAACAGCTGTGACCTCGTTAGGCTCCAATGGCAAGAGGGCGCCCCCTGGAGCGGCCTGGCAAGCTCCCAGGAAGCCCGACAGCCGCTGGGGGGTGCTCACGGGTCACCCCGTCCTTGATTCCGAAAGACAAGGTCGCGGCGTCGGAGCTGCGTGGCAGGTGCGGGGGTGCAGGAGGGCCAGACACTGCACCCGCGCGGCTCGCCCCTCCACCAGGGGGCGCAC